ATATATATATATATATCATTCTATAATGATATATAAAGCATATCCTTCAATGTGCATTGTAGTCCAATAGGTTGAGGTCCCCATGATGGACAAAGATGTCTCTCAAGGAATATAGAATTATAATTATATTGTATACTTCATACCAATCGCCAAAGCAGAAAAAGCAGTCTTTGCTATATGTACAAATATATAAAAAGAAATGTATCCAGGCATTTATCTATTGAACACTTGCAGTGAAACACTGGACAAAGTCAAAAATGGCATTTGATATGATGCATTCTGACACTAGCATTAACAGAGCTGTTTTTGTTTTGTGCCTTTTGTAATATAGTTTTGTTTCCTGTTAATCCTGGCAATGGATCCATACTTTTTTCACTTCTTGTAATAGAGTGACAATGTACTGACATGATCAACAGGTGATAAAACTGGACCAAGGGGACTCAGAAAAATAAAAACGGTGGTGTTAGGGCCCCTTCACACCTTTCTGTTTTTGTGTATTATATTAATTATTAATTAAATGTATGCCAACATGCATTCAGATAGCCAATACATTTAAATGGAACACCAATGCACCAAATGGACAAAAAACAACCTGCAGCTTTTTTTCTGACCCAGCACACCACAGCACATGGTAGTGCATTACTATACACTGAGTGGCCAGATTATTATGACCATCCGTCATCAGTAATTCGTTGGGCCACAAGATGACTCCATGAGATGACTTCGTTGGGACTCCACGAGATGTTGAGAGGTGATGCGAGGAATTTGACACTGCACTGTTGCCCTTCTGTTGTCTTGTACCAGTCTTGCCCCTCCCCCGTTCTGCCCTAACATTGACTAGTCGCTGACGGCCACAATTCGCACGTTCAGACCCAGATTTTCGGCTGACAGTCCGGTCTTTAAACACTTTAACAACAGCTGCTCTTGAACATGTAACGAATTCTGCTGTTTTGCTGATACTCGCTCCATGGCTCCGAGCGCCAACAATCATCCCGCATTCAAAGGCTGTTACATCGCGTTGTTTCCCCGTATCTTCAGAAACAAATCACTTCTACTGTCATGGTAAACAACCTGCTTCTAGCAACTTCAGCGCCAACTTATAGCTAATTTGCCTACAAACGTCAGGTGGTCATAATAATCTGGCCACTCAGTGTATGTCTGGTACACTTCAATGCAGGTGCATTGTGGAGGTGTACTTGGGTTCCAAATGAGCAAACATAAGGTGCATTAGCTCAGTGCAATGGTATGAAACCAGCCTTAATGTTAGTGACAGACTGCATACTATATTATATATAATATTTAGTTATTTTGCCCATAGTTTCATAGTGTCATTAGAAAGTAGACATGTGCAATTAGTTTCGAAAGATTCATTATTCTGGCAAATTTTCATTATTCAGATATTCAGATGTATCTGAATCTCCGAATGACAGAAATCACAGATGAAAACGAAACCCCGAAAGCAAAATTTTCGGACGAAATTCATTAGCGGTAGTCTGTATGAATTTTCGTTTGTGGACAAATTTTCGTTGCAGCAAAGTGACAAAAAAAGACTTTAAAAAAAAATAGTTTGTAGCAGAGGAAAAAAAAGCATGAGGTTCCCCCCAACTGATACCAGACTCTTTAGGTCTGGTAGGAACGTTATGAGGGACCCCCCCCCCCAAGTGAAAAAGGAAAAAAAAGTGCATGGGGTTCCCCGCAAAATCCATTCCAGGCCCTTTAGGTCTGGTAGGAATTTTAAGGGGGAACCCCACCCCTAAAAAATAAAAAAAATGCGTGGGGTCACCCCTAAAATTCCTACCAGACCCTTGATCTGAGCACAGGCCCGGCAGGGCAGGAAGGGGAGGCGATCGAGTGCCCCTGCACCTTACCAGACCATTTGCCCTTGGCATTGGGAGTGTGTCCCCATGCCGATTGGGACAAGGGCCTCTTCGCCACAACTAGGGATGTTCAGATACCAAGTACCATACTCGGTACAAGTACATGTACAGATACTTTTAAAGCTCCAGGACTAGACTAGAGAAAAATTCAAAAGTTAGGAGGCAGCTGTCATTTTTAAGGAGTTTACGGAGCTCCTGGGATTTGTACATCCCCATTTTAATGCATTATTTTTTTAATAAATATATATATAAGTGGTGCACCGATACCATTTTTCCAAGTACGAGTACTGATACTTGCCCAAGTACTTTCAGATACAAGTACTGATACATTTTTGTTTAGTGTCATGTGACAGTTTTTCTAAAATAATACAGACTAATGATTTCAGGACAGTGGTGGAGAGCCAGAGCCAGGTCACAGCTACAACCGCTGCAACCCTGGTAGTTCTTGTGAAAATGCCAAGTAGCGCCACTGGTATCTGAACTGGTATCTGGACATCCATACCCACAACCACTGGATCAGTGCACATGTCTATTAGAAAGCACTCAATTGCAGTATAGAATAACTTAAAATTAAAAAAATATTACATGTGTCTTGCTAAAACTTTTGATTAAAACGATGTCTACGGTTCCTAAAAGCCTTCAAGAAGTCTTGATTCCTCAAGCTGTAAATGACTGGGTTAAGCAATGGAGTCATTACAGTATAAAAGAGAGCCAAAACCTTATTGATAATTAGGGAATGTCCCACAGTGGGAACAACATAAACAGATAACAGTGCACCATAAAAAAGACAGACAACAGTGAGATGAGAACTGCAAGTCGAGAAAGCTTTCTTCCTTCCAGTGATGGATGGGATCCTTACAATGGTATAGACAATACAGATGTATGATACAACGATTGTTACAAATGGACAAATTATTACCACAATGCAAAATAAAAAAGTCTGAACATGAACGATGGAAGCATCAGAGCAGGCAAGCCCCATGAGAGGAGTAAAATCACAGAAGAAATGGTCAATCACGTTGTTCCCACAAAATATCAAATTGCATGTGGCAATAGCATCAGATAACGTCATCACAAAACTCAACAGCCATGTAAAAATGATTGATTTAAGGCAAAACATTGGACTCATTAATGCGCTATAATGGAATGGGTTACAAATGGCCAGGTACCTGTCATAGGACATCACAGCCAATAGGAGACACTCCATGGCTTCCGCATCGGCAAACAGAAAAAATTGTGCGATGCAGCTTTGCAAAGAAATTGTACCACCTTCATTTATAATAATGGATAACATGTTGGGAACAATATCTGTAGTAAGTAAGATGTCAAATATGGAAACTTGGGCGATGAAGAAGTACATAGGGGAATGGAGGTTTTTGCTTAATGAAACCAGAGAGATTATAATCATATTTCCCAACAAAGTCAGACCATAAATGATAAACAACAATAAGAAGAGTAGAATGTTGAAATCATGAAGACCCTGGAACCCCAGAAGCACAACGACGGTGATGTTATTCTTATGCATTTTCTATTGGTAAAAACATACAACCATAATACCAAAGTAAAATTTAAAGTGACATTAAACTCCGGAATTAAATCTTCAAAATTCTTTCAAGTACCTTAACTATTAACAAAAAATGTATCTTATTTGTGTATCACTCGGCTGTAGATCCTCAAATCATCTCTGAATTGGTGCTAACACTGTCCTTCCTTCTGCAGGGGGGCTACTTTTGTTCCCCATGGTCCCTGTGTGTGTTGCAAAGTTGCCATTAGTATGGGAGTAATCAGGTAGAGGGAATGTTATGACTGGGACAATAAAGTATATGTATATCATGTTAAGTGATGAGTATAAGAATTGCTTTTGTTGTTGATGACTTTGTGATTTGTAAAACTTGAAATCAATAAAATAAATATTAAAAAAAAAAAAAAAGTTGCCATTAGTCAAAAGCTTGTTCCCGGGATGGACTACAATCTTATACAAATTTTTATTGAATTTATTTTTTATTATTATTAGGGCAGCAACGTCAGCTATCTTAATTTGGGGATTTAGGGGTACATTTGGGGGTCTCCACTTACAGTAACGGTGAGCCCCATTTGAGGCACCCTTTCCATTTGGAATACACAGCTGTGTGATTGATTGTTATATCCCAGTTTGTGTTTTTTCCATACAGCATATTAAAGTATATCTAAACCCTAGGAATGCATTTCTATTTTTTGCTCTGTTATTTGATCTGTTAAACATACTCTTAAAATCATTTTTTTAACTGCCGCAGGATCACAATACATAAATAAATGGCAGCAACCTGAAGCATTTATACCAAGATCGGGGTTGCTATAGCAGCCCTAATCTTGGAATATTTTTTTACAGCCAGTGAGGGCTGTTATATACAAGCCTTGGGGCAGCTATAAAGCTGCCTGATCCCTTGTATGGTGCTGGAAAATGTGTGGCCCCCTCTGCCTCTGCTGCCAACTATGTTGGGCTCCGCTATCCCCCGTGTGAGCCTGGGACCAGCATAGTGGGTCTGTCCCCCCTTCAATCAGAGGGAGGTCTGCACACTTCCAGAAGCTGACCTCTCTCTCTCTATTCACAGATTTTAGAAGTGTTGTGTATTACATCACTTCTGGTTTCAGTGTGGCATTTCTCCAGCTGCTGTGGCCAAAGAAGAAGCTGATGAAGCACAATCTTCTTTGCTATCACGTAGGGGGCTTCTGAGCCCCTATATGATAGCAATTACGTTAAGTGTAAAAAAAAAAAGAGAAAATCAATATTTTTTAAAAAGTCTTCCACCCCATGTACATGCACATACAAACACGTTTTGGGTGCACCTATGTGTGTAATAATATGTAACATATCACCATGAAGGCCAGAGTGCGAGCAATAATTCTAGGGTCATCAATCACTGTTAACACTAAATTGACGAGTGGTAAAAACTTTCAAAGCATATTGTACTTATTTGCTATTACATGGGTACACCAAAATTAATTTTAGTCTATTTTATTTTAAAAATATTGGAACATTTACTCAAATATGCAACATTAAAATTGCAACTAGCATTTTCTTTTACTCTACAGTGCCTCTGCTGTCAGAAAATAAATATGTATAATTATATATTATGTATGTTTATAATTCTGGGGGGTTTTAAGCTGTTTTTTAAGCTAAAAATTCAGATTTTAGCATGTCCATGCAAATAATTAAAAGATTGCTCCAGACAGCAAGAGGTTAAAAAAATCTCCACTGAGACAAAGAGGGGACTGACATTGCTAAATTGAAATCCTTAGTTTGTCGTGATCCTTTCAACTTCTTATCCAATACACTTTTTTTACAATATTGCCTAGCTAACACATGCAAGTCTATATAGATATAGTAATTTTTTCTTAAAGACATTAGAACATAATTACTGTATAATAATACTAGATCAACAAGAATTAGGCACAGTTATGGTGTTTAGATGCCTTCAGATCTTCACATACATCAATGACATCTATCGAACAGGTTGGATTTTTTCATTTGATAGCTTCTGTTCCTCAAAGATAAGACTTTGCATAAGAGCACAAGTATTACGTGATTCAAGCTTTTAGGATGCCAGATCATTTTGCTAAAAATCACCCTGCTATCTAAAAACCATTTCCATCCATAGTCTGTAAAATAACAATGACTAAATATAATTTAAGACAGCAGTTTGTAATCACACACTCCAGGGTGCAAAGATGAGTGACCATGAGACACCAGCAGACAGACCCAGCCAACTGATCTTGTGAGTTGAAAGATTAATATACGGCATTTTATTAACTCAATCCAAATGATGAATTAGCCTACAGAGAATTCACAATCTCATTTACAGTCTCATGTGATTATACACTTAGTTGATACACTTTTACAAAGTTTTGCTTGGTTGGTTTTCATTAAAGTTGCACTTAGGTTTCTTGCTTTAGTCACCTGTGGTCAAAAAAATGTAAATAACTGACAATGTGAAAAAGTACATAGGAGAACTGGACAAGTTGAACAACTTGCTACATTCGTCCCACAGCTCTGGCTCCTTCATAGAAATCTTCTTTATTAAAGTGATAAATTCCCCTCAATGTATCTGTTTATCTTATTTGTGGGCCCAGCTACAATCTCAATATAATGGTAGTCCATCCCAGGAGTGAGCTTGGAGTGGTGACTACTTTACAACACACACAGGGACCATGGTGAACAAAAGTAGCCCCCCTCCAGAAGGAAGGACAGTGTCAGCACCAATCCAGAGATGATTGGAGGATCTACAGCCGAGCGATACACAACTAAGATACATTGTTGTTGATAGTCAAGGTACTTGGAGGAGAGGGGCTACTTTTGTTCCCCAAAGTCTCTGTGTGCTCCAAGCTCGCTGCTGTTGTGGACTACAATCTCAATAGAAATTAGTAAACTGAATGTGAGACTGTAGCAGTGACGTGCGGTACCTCTTGCTCGGGGTGAGGCATTCCCCTGCCCCGCCCCCGCCGGCCAAAGAGCTAGTGTAAAGGAGGAAGGGAGCAGACAGGGAGGGGCCTCCCAGTCCCTCACTTGCTCTTCACCTATGAGGCTCCATGACAGGTTACACAGCGGGGAGCATTTCCCCGCTGTGTAACATGTTAGATGCCAATCTGGATGGAGAAAAAGCATGTCTGAAGCTGACAGTTTTTCCTCCATAATTCTAGGTGAGGCTCTGCCTCCCCTGTCTCCCTTGACCGCACGTCCCTGGATTGTAGTCCATTCTGGGAGCAAGCTTGGGGAAAAAAAGTATCCACCCTCCAGAAGGAAGGACAGTGTCAGCACAAACTTTCTGCTTTTCCTAAATCTTAAAAAGTTCTGTTCTGGGTCCTGGAGCCCAGAGGTTTTCTAAAGCTTTGGGAGAGGTAAAGCCTCTTTTCCTAGGTCCACATCTTGCTTGGGAGCCACACCTCAGTATTTGTTTCAGCTGGCCATGGATGTTTATAAATGTGAGGTGACTAATACCCAGTTTCTCTTTTTCTTGTACTCTTTGCTGTGGGAGTCTGCTGTTGTGTGAAAAGACTTACTGATGACAGAACACTAAAAAGTTGCAGGTGCTCCCTGTGTATTTTGTGGAACCAATTAAGGGACATTCTGTTGGTCAGGAAATGGCCTATGTTTAGTTAGTAGGTCACACAAGCAAATGTTTTGTTTGTTTAATGCTATGGACTTCCTGTTTAAAGACCTTATGAATTGAAATTGTGCATGTTTGCAGCCTTCACCAGGCCTTCTTAGAGGGACAGCAGCAAGTGAACCTGTCTCTACAGCAATATTCAAAAAACCAATAAAGGGCGCAGAGAACACTGGCTAGTTAACAAAGTAGTGATGAAAAAAACTGAAGGTGGTGGCACTTACGTGTGATTGCCACATATGTTTTTTCTGTCTCTACAGCAGCAGATAAAGGCCCTGTTAGTCAGGCAGATAGTGATGCAAGGACTAACTCCTACATGTTGACCACTGGTACTGAGCAATGTATGAAAACTGTCCCTGGAGGATGCTGCTGAAGCCTACCTTACCTTAAGAACCAGATGTTAGCCTGGTATACCCACATTTTGCAGTATTCACAGACTTACTGTATTTTGTTAAATAAGAAACAAGTTGTGGAGGTACCCCAGTCTCACAAAAGGATGGTATTGGATCTGGCCCACTCACATATTTTGGGTGGTCTTTTAGGGGTAGAAAAAAAACAGAAGAGAGAGTTGTGGAGAATTTTTATTAATGCACTTTGACCACATTCCAGAAATCTGCTGGTACCCTTACCTATAGCTGAGATCCCTTTTTGAAACGGTTGCTATGGTTCTGGCCAAGCCTGGTATTCAGAAGCAATCCCTCTCAGAAACATGTCATTTAAGGTTCTAGTGAAAGCATTGCTCCACATTGCTCCACGTGTTTTTCAGGACCTGTATTACCAGGGAAATTTTGCCAGACGCAAGTACATGCAAGTACATCTGTCTACTCACATGTCTACTGTCTACTCACATGTTCTATACAAATTTTCAGTATATCATTCTCCAACAAAGCTCACAGAGCCAAAATAATCTGTAAATGTAATGACAGTGAAAGTCACCACTGTGAGCCATTTATAGCCCTATTGCACCTTTAGTGGCTTCCATGGTTATTTTAAAGTTTCTGGATCAGACCTTTATATATTATATATTAAATGTGATAATGTCACTTGTTCCCAAGGAAAGCAAAACAAATAGTTGCAAAGACCTTTTTTAATGTAGTTTTAGTCCTTTTTGAAATAAGTCCTCTCAAACTCATAGGGCTGTAGGCAGCCGAGTGAACGACCGACCTGAAGCAAAGTGACGGCAGCCAACGGCTCTCTATGTCAGAATTAAAAAAAACACAGGGAAAGGTTTATTCTGCTTGATCGAGCAGAGCAAAACTTTCCTTTAGAAAGTGTTTCTCTCCCGGGCGGCCGGGAGCCACTATCTAATAGTGGGAGACTCCTGGAGCGCCCGGGAGAGTTGGGCTGTCTGGAGATCAGTGTCCCTGGTTACCTGGTAACCAGG